TTCGGACTTCCACCTAAAATAACATTCAAATTTGCAGAAAATTCAAACGTTTGCTAATTAGTAAAGATAAACAGAGAATACCCTTCTTTTCAAAGAAAAGGAGTGGTTTTAGAATTACCTCATGATCAGAAAATTCCAGCATATTTGTGGTTGAAAAAACATCCAAGTCCAGCCCAATTACCGAAACCATGTTACGTATTAATGTAATTGAACTTAGTTCACAAAATTTCTTCAGCTTTTCATCATAGACCTCGTCTTTTGTCCGAACATTGATAGTCGGAGTTTCTAATATCAACTAAATTACATCAAACATCAGCTAAAACAGATTCAATCAATTGAAAGTAGCAAACTTTTAGCCAACGTTGTCAAGACTGTAAAAAATAAAAGTAAGACTAAACAGTGTTTGTAAAAATGTCTATAAATTTGAAAAATTGATGTATTCAAAATGCAAATAATAGATTCTCAAACTGTTAAGGTCAGCTAACCCACTGCTAGCACACATTTCTATATACATTAAGTTTGCAAGAGGAAAAAGAACCTTTGCTTCTGAAGAATTCAGTTCAGCAATTTCAGAAAGTTGTAGGGGTAGAGGGTTTTCATCAAAAATTTCTTTGTTCTTAGCTGGCGACTGTAAACGTTTTTCACACAATATTAAGAGGTCTTTAGCAGTAATGTTCAGTGGAACATTAACTTCAGAAAGCAATGACAAATAACTAGGAATGTCGAAAACTGCATTTTTGGGAATAACCGGTTTTTCTTGACCATCATCACTCGATGTCTCAGCATCACCTAAAAAATTAGCAAAATATCTTTGGCCTTTAAAAATTCTGCGAAAGTATTGGTAAAATATTTGCTAATAGAAAAACCTAGAAAATATTACAAGGCTGTGGCGAATATTTACTATTAATAATACTTCTAATAGATAACTGCTAAATTAGAAATTAAAATTATATAAAGGTATTTTAAATGAAAATTTTTTGAGCTTTTACAAACGGTAGAATTTAAATGATCAATAATTAAAGAAAAGTGCTTCATGAACCAAATGCAGTAAACGCTCAGAAAAAAAAAGTTTCTAACTATGACTGTAAAGTGTGTCTCCACAGCTCTGAGAAGAGGTGTTTGAAAAACCGGAGTTTACAGTCAAAGGTTTCAGAAACAGAGCACAAAAACGGTATCTCTACAGAGATATAGTGAACTTGAGAGTTGAATGTTTTTCAGGAACTCTAAGTTCTTCTTGTATTATTTGACAATCAGTACTGTGTTATCAAACTGATATTTCACTTTTAAAAAAATTTTTTATTTTGAAATTACATCAGTGTTTTTGAAAATTTTAAAAAAAATCTGACGTCTATTACGGTAGTGACTCACATTCTAATTCAGCTGATAAACTTTGATCAGCTGTAGCAGTTGTCGGGCTTTGCTTAATTTTTTTGGTAATCGTTCCATTCACTCTCTCTGATGACAATGAATCAACTGATTCACCAGGTTCAGAGTTCTAAAAGTTGAAACAACTATTTTTGCTTTCACTCTGCTTTTTCTGCTTCCTTCCCCCACGGCAGAATAGTCAGAATTTTTAATTTTCAAGCATGTTCTGAATGCTATTTTAACTTCACCACTCTGTTATATTCAAAGCTAATCAAATACAAAAATGATAAATAAGATTATTCACCTGATTATCCCTCTTTCCGCGCACAGTACAATGAACTTTTTCAACAGTGAATGACTCGTCATTTGAGCTTTGATAAACTCCTTCCTCAACAGCGCCAGCTTCTGTATCGGACATGACTGTCAATCAGTAAAACTGATAATATTTTTTATTCATGATAAGTTTCAACAGCCAAAATCGATGTCTTCTAAACTGGCCTACCCAAAGAACCTGCTAAACTTTTGCCTCCTAAAAAAATACACTTTTAGGTTACCAAACAGAGTACTTTTTGTACAAATTAGAGAATACTTTATATGAAATTATTGTTTTTCTGATTAAACACTTAGAAAAGCTTTTATTAAATCTGTTACTCTGATTGTCAAACACTGTATAACTAAAATTTCTTTTAGATCTCAATGTAAACTTTTTAATACAGTGGGAATTCAGTAAATTTTTACACTGTTACAGGAGAAGAAAATTTTTTCAGTTGCAAAAACAGATATTTAACTTTAAAACGGTTAATAAAATAAATTACCAAAGCTGTTGCTTATTAATACAGTCAACAAGTTATAGAAGCTCAGACCTGTAAATCAACACTTCTACACTTAGTTACTTGCTTGGTTTTTTTTTTGAAAATGAAGTAAGTAAAGGTTTGACCTTAGACTTTAGATTTTTTTTATTCTCTTCAAGAATAGCTGCTGCTTGGAAAAACTAGTGGCAGAAGTTTTCAGCCAATTTAAACTTTTAAAATGGTAAGTCAGACTAGAAAATTGTAGGCTTTAAAGCCGTCAAACAGAAAAACACGTAAGCTTCAAAATGCTAATATTTTTGAAAATTTTTTAAGCAAATCACTGGGAAGGAAATAAACCAGAAGAGCATAAAAAAGAAATTAAAAAAAGGGCGAAGCGTCAAAGAATGCACACAAAATTATTATATTGGCAAGCTGATCGACGAATGTTTGCGAGAACGACGAGGTCATACTGTTGATGATTGCCGGCTTTGGTATGTGTTATATGATTCGGCATCGGGGTCAATCTTTATGTATCAATCTCATATTTTACAAAAACTGTTTTTTATTGTACTATACACAGTACGGGCTTTCATCTAATTTATTTTCACATGATTTTTGTGACTTAACAGGTAAAATTTACGCTGTTTATTTTCTCATTCAAAAAGCACAGTGTTGAAAAATGACTGCCACAGAGAAAATTTAAATAAGCTTAGGCATGAAATGGCTAAGTCTTTTACAGTTTTAGCTCAAATGAAGAAAAAAAATAATAGTTTTTAATAAGCTTGCTTAAGCATTAAATGTTTTTTGTTTTGCTTAAAAGCTTAGTGTTTAAGCACTTATAATCATTAAATAGTTCATTTTATGGTTCTTCTAGTTTGAAGAACATTGTATTATCTTTAATTAACACATGTGCACCTGAGTGAAGTCAATGTAGTCATCAAATTTTATTTAGAGCTTTTAAATTTGCAAGTTAGATTATAGTGAAGTATAAGAAGTAAATTTTTAGTCTACTGATTTTCAAAGGTTTTAACTAAAGTTAAGAATAATATTGCATTTTAGAATTAACAATAAAAAATTTTTTGACCTTATCAATATTTGTCAGGTACTGGTAAAGATGTATTCACTTTTCCAGTAAAGAAGCTCAAAGCACAATTTATTTTTTTAAATGGGTTACAAATAAACAAGTAATGCTTTTTGGTAATTGTTGCTGAAAAGTACAACCAAAACTCACAGATTTTTTAGTAGTGGCTGATCATTTATGTCCCTCATTGAGTTGCTACAGGTGGGGTTCAGTGAAATCTTATATATCAGATAAGGATTTTTTCTGCGCACTGAGTCAGCATAACAAAGTTGAATTAAATTCAAAACAAAAACTATTTGTTTTTTTTTAATAAATTGATTAACCAGTTATTAATTTTACTAACTAAATTATCATTTTCTGTGTTGTTTAGAAACCTTATATAATATTGGCTTTTCAGTAGATCAAATTCCTTTTATTAATCGAGAAAGTTCTATGTATGACAACAACTACCTCATATTATGATAAAAATGACTTTCATAGTTCATTGGAGAAAGATTAAAGTTTGTAGTTACTCACCGTCTATAACAATGACTGTTTAAAAAAGTAGTGGTAAAAAATTAGAACAAGCTGAAACTAAAAAACACCTGTATTGTTATTATCTTGTTTCAAAAACTTGGTTTTTTTTTTTATTGTTTTATAAGAAAATATTAAAAGATTTTAGATAAGTGAAGAAAAAAGTTACTGTTATACTTCATATCTGAACGAGGTCACTGTTGTAGACGAGCAATTTATAAAAATTATTAATTTGATCATTGCTTAATAAAACAATTTTCCGGCAATAAAAATATTCTCTAAAGTAGTTGCCACAGGTCTGTACTTAAAAACACCTATTACCTAAAGTATGAAAGTTGAGTATTGCTTACAGTTGTTTTGTATAACATAAATAAAAATCGGATTTTCGATTAACATTTGTATTCTAGACGTTACCATGTTATATTATCAATTTATTTTTGTGCACTGTTGCACTATTACATTATAATTTCATAAACAGCGTAATCAGAAAGATTGATCTGTAAAGCAGTTACGGGAATAAATCCTTATATTTGGAATATATTGAGACCTTCGCTTTTCGACAGCTTTTTACAGTAAACCTATGCACTGTTCTCAACGATTTCTGACTCACCATTTGTAAATCTAAACGAAGGTAAATGCAAATTTTTTTCACTTATTTTACATTATTTTTTGAAACAATGGTTTGAAATAATTTGTTGTTGAGTTGTTACACAGAAAATTCTGAAAAGAGATTTTTGAAAAACTTTATTTTTGATGGTTGAATATGTAAGTATATTCAGTAATAAAAATAACAATGCTACTCTCTTTTATTGTGTTCATTAAAAAGACTGTGTCTCTGGTGTTCTAGTTTCCTGACTAAACTTTTCAATTTTGAAATATTCGTTATGTCTTTACAAGAAGCGTTCTTACTTGAATTGATGCAAAATTCAAATAGCTTGGCTTTGGAAGTAATCAAAAAAAAATAAAAGATATAAGTCTTAGAAGATATAAGAAAATTTAGATTAACTTAAAAGCACTGAAAGAGTAGGCAGCAAGGTGATAACTGGAGAGTTAGCTCTGTGAAGTGACTCTCAGTCGGAAAACATTGAAATATAGAAGTTAAGAATTTCTCTTTAAAAAAAATTATTAATTTCTTTTAAAAAAGCTATTTTAAGAAAGCTTGACACTGCCTAGAACTTGAATTTTACTTGTTAGAATGGTAAGATTCGATTTGCCGCCCAAAAACAGTCGTTTATCTTAGTTCT